TTGCCATATAGAGGCCACATTACCAAGGTACCGCAAAGACAGGTTCGGCTCCCCGTATTTATTCACATATTAACATTTACAAAGTTTTCCGTAAAATAATAAATATTTGTCTTCTTCTTCTGCATTTTTTTTTTTTTTTTTTTTTTTTTTAATTTTGCTTACATTAAAATGTCATAGTACAATTATATATGCCATATATATCGTGTTACAATTAAACTCGTGTTACAACAATTATCAACTAAATTAAAATAAGAAAAAACACGGACATACATAAATAAATATAAGCATATATACACATACAAATGCGTAGATGCGCACATACATAAACTGCTTACAATGAAACATAAGCTAGGATCTGAAAGAAGATCACAAGATCTTGTCATCAGAACCTTATAAAACACAAACAAGCAAAATACATACCAGTATAAGATACTAAAAAATAAAGTAAAAATTAAAATAAAGAAAGTACTGAATCCAAGTTGTATAACAATTTTCAAAATATTAGAAGTATCTGAATATATTATCAAGTGAAATAATACATTTTTTTAGATTGAACTTGAAAAGGTAAAAGGAAGTTGGTAAATCAAAATTCTGCAAAACTATATTATTCCATAGGTGGGGTCCACGATAAGCAATGCAAAATTGTTTAAATTTTGTGTGACAAAATGGTTCTTTTAAAAAGTTTATGTTTCTCATATCGTATTTGTTGTTAGGTTTGAGTTTGAAATTATTATTAAAAACGGTAGGGGATTGATTATTTCTCCATAGATATACAAAACATAAAACTTTAAATACATTGAGTTCAAATAAATTTAACAATCTCATTTTAGTAAAAAGAGGTTTTGTGTGTGTAAAACGATCGGCATAGTTAATTATGCGGATCGCATGCTTTTGACGACGAGTTTTAACTTACTTTTTACAGTACTCCCCCAAGCAGAGTTGGCATAATTTATGTAACTGTGGATAAAAGAGTAATAATGTTGTTTTAAGCAATTTTTATTTAGGTAGTTACGAGCTTTATATAGAATCACAATGTTTTTTGAAATTTTAGTAGATACATAATTAATATGTTGTACAGTAAGTTATTTTTGTTGAGATGTTTGTATATTCTATTAGACATTATTCTTTCTAAAATTTTTTAAAATACTGAAAGAACAGATATGGGTCGATAGTTGCTAATATTTGATCTGTCACCTTCTTTAAAGATAGGAGTAACTTTAGCAACTTTTAATTATTCTGGAAAAATTCCTTGATTTATAGAAGCTCTAAAAACTTTAAAAATAATATGTTTTAATATATCGAAACAATCTATAATTACGTTTCCATTAATTTCATCTGCTCCTGTTGCTTTGTTTCTTTTCACAGAATTCAAAGCTACTTCAAATTCTTCAAAAGATAATTCTGAAGATAACTCATCAGAGCAAATGCAATTATCCATAGGTACGAGAAAATCATTAAAAGAAGCCGTCGTGTTTGAAATCCTATTTGATAAGGAAGGACCTATCCCAAAAAAAAATTTATTAAATTCACGGGATATGGCTCTTGGGTCATATAAACTTATGTTATCAACTTTAATCATCTGCGGCAGAAAACCTAAGCACGATTTTTGTTTTCCAGTAATTTCTTTCATAATTTACCATGTGCGTTTCAAATCGTTTTTAAATTTATTAATTAGTTCTGAGTAGTAATTTCTTTTTAAGTTTTTACGTATTTTTTCAAATAGATATTTGTAGTTTTTGTATATTTTTTCGCTAGCAGATGTTTTTGTTTTTAAATATTTAATATACAACTTCTGTTTAATTTTTGACGATTTTTTTAATCCCTTCGTAATCCAGAGACTTTTTGAACTTTTGTTAATTTTTATTATTTTTTCAACCATTAGAAAATTAGCGTCGTAAACGGAAAACAATGTTTTATAAAATGCTTCGTAGATGTTATTTGCATTGTCATTAAGATCGATATGATTCCAATGGAGCGAATATAGTTGATCTTTAAATAGCTCAAAGTTTTTTTGTTTAAAGATACGTTTTCTTACAACTGTAGGGGTGTTAATATTTTTTTTTAAATTTGAGTTTATAATAAGGAATATAGGAAAATGATCGGATATATCAGTTTTTAAAATAACTTTTTGAATATCTTTATTAAAAATATCTGTTGTAATGATATTATCTATTAGGGTAGCCAAGTTTATTGTTACCCTAGTAGGGCGATTAATTAAGGGTATAGACCCTGTTTCAAAAATTGTGTCATAAAATTTTTTAACTTTATACTCATCGTTATAAAGAAAACAATTTATATAGATGAATTTCAAATTGACGTCGCGCGTTTACATTTTTTCGGACGCGAAGGACACTGGCAGGATAGAAAGAAAACACGCAAAAAAAAATATGGAGTGAATCTGATTACTTTTTAACATTAGAAGAAAACAATAAAGATGCATATAAAAAAAAATTAACTTTGTCAAATGGAATGTTACTCCCTGACCCTTTCGTACTTGAAAATTGGAAAAACGACGTTTCAATAATGCCCGACATTACATGGGGTGACATGTACAATTACCTTATTAACTCCCCAAGTAACTTTACACACGATTCAATGAAAGCCTATAAATCATTGGAGTCGTACAACTTTTACATTTGTGGGCATGTTCAAGATGTATACTATAATTTAATTGAAGAAACGAATGAATTTTGTTTCATTAAATCTGAGGTAATTTTGCATATTACAAAGTAAAGTTCACCGTCAAAGTGCAAAAAAAAAGTGTTTGAAAAGTTAAAACCATAAAATTTATTTTGAGTAAAATGTAAAATGATATACGTTTTTACTTATTTATTCAACTTTTAATTTATTAAAGGTGCTTCCAAGTCAAAGACAAGGAAAGAAGCAGAAATGTTACGAAGTGTGGGTTGCAATAAATAAAGTTAATGGGTGGATTTTAACGGCAAATTGCAAATGCATGGCAGGGTAAGTACATTAATTAAATAATTTAATTCTAATTTTATTTTAAACAAGTATTTTAAGAAATTTTATTGGTTATTCATTTTTGAAACTATAGATTGGGCTCTGTGTGTAGTCACATCGGTGCTTTGTTGTTTAAGCTTGTTGCGTGTGCACAGCTCGGTTTAAATAAAATATCTTGCACAAGCACATTGTGCAGTTGGAAAAAATCACGCAAATCAGCAACCCCAGCCCCACTAAAAAAAATAAACTTTTCGCGACCAAAGAAGCGTGAAACTCTTCCAAATATTAGTGACAATGAAAACTCACAGGATGAAAGACCTTACAGCTTTAAGGATCCTACACCAACTTCAGATAGTAAAAAAAAAGTTGCTAGAACTAAAAAAATTGTATAAGAATGCTGCTGTTCTTCAGTCTGTAGACATTAAAAATGAAAGCAAAGAACATTGTAGTGATACAGATACTGCGGAGGAGGATGACAGTTACAATGAATATAATTTGCCGGAACCACTTACTTCACTATATTTGCCTGCATCAATTAATTTAGATGATTCCACCTTAACAAAATATTGCGCAGAATCATACGAGGAGTACAAAATCACTCAAAGTGTTAACATGTACAGCAATTTACTTAAAGTTACAAATATTCAAAGCGCTAGTAGAATCTGGAAGTTGCACAGGGCAGGTAGAATAACAGCATCGTTATCAAAAACTGCGTACAACATAAAAGTTGATAAATACCCTAAGTCGTTTATAAACGCAGTGATGCAATACAACGCAGAATTCATTACAAAACCTACGAGTTATGGTAAGAAAATGGAGACTGTAGCAATAAATTCTTACAAGAAATTTGTCGCAAAAACACATACAAATATAGTTGTTACAGAAACTGGATTGCATGTTCTTCACAAAAATCCATGTCTTAGTGCTTCACCTGATAGTATGGTGTGTTGTGATTGTCATGGTTCCGGTGTAGTGGAAATTAAGTGCCCATATAAGTATAGAAATGGGTTAGAAAATTGGAAAACAGATACGTATTTTCCTGTAAATTTTGACAATACAGTAAAGAAAACACACCAGTATTACTTTCAAGTGCAGCAAGAAATGTATATTACTAATACTACATACTGCCATTTTTACATTTGGACCGAAGGAAAAAATGAAAATGATACAATGTTAATTAATGTTCCGATTGATAGGGTCATTTGTGAAAAACTGGAAACAAAGTTGACAACAATATTTTTTAAATTTTTACTACCTGAAATAGTGTCTAGAAAAAATGATCCTAACAACCTTTTGAGCGATCAAACATACTGCATTTGCAAACGTCCAAGTTTTACACCAATGATTGGATGCGACGGAAAAAACTTCAAAATAGGATGGTTTCATTACAGTTGTATTGAAATAAAAAATGCCCCTAAAGGTAAATGGTTCTGCAAGGAATGCATATAAATTAACTAAAGGATATATTATATTTATTAAATCTCTTACTTTGTCAACGACATTTTGGCACTTTTTTCAGAAATAAAAAATCAATAAACTGTTAACAATTCTTATTATTAAGTAATATAAAATTTACTACTCTCGAGTCTTTATTAGAAGGGTAGGGGGGATTTCTATTAAATTTTTGAAAACTTTCCCACCTACCTTAAGCTTATTAAGACCACTCTGTTTATTAATTTTCACTTGTTATCAACAAAAAGTTTCTAAAACTATCGAAACTAAAAAAAATAATTCAGTGAAAATTGGCCTTATAATTTACAAAATATATACTAGTAACTAATAAATAATAAAACTTTTAGTATAAATTCTCACCCCCTACTTTAATTAGATCTTGACAAACCACCCCCTTCCCCTTGTATTAAGGACTCGAGAGTACTTGAGACAATCCAAATGTAAGATAATACAAAATAAAGTAAAAATAAAAAGGTTTTTCACTCCTATGAGCTTGGAGGAACAACACTACTGTTAATATTTACTAATGAAATTATTGTTACCATAACATCATCAAGTAAATCAACTTGAGTTAATGGGATAATGTTCTAAAGAATTCGAAATTTTCTTAACCGTCCAATTACCCTTTCAACATGGATTCTTACATGTGCAATTTGACGTGATTCATCAACTTCAGCAGAAGACATCTGCTTTTTTCCTTTGGTAAACTTTGGTAATTTTAAAATCCCACCTTTTGTAGAAAATTCTTCAACAAGTGTAAATCCTCTATCAGCAAGTACACAATCTCCATGGGTTATTTTTTCTAAAAATCCAGATTTAATTGTAATTTCTTTATCTGAAACTCTACCACCCCATCCAGGGGATAAAAAACTTACAGCACCTGATGGAGTTATACCAATGAGATATTTAATTGTGTTGTTGTTTTTATAATTTGACCAAGTTTGAGCTCGAGCATGAAGACTAAAAGGTCTTTCAATGAGTATTTCTATGCAATCAATTATTGCAACACAATTATAGAACTTTTTGCAAAAACTTGTTGGCAAATTTCTTCGCAAAACATGCTTTTCTGGCCAAACAATTAAAAACTTAACATTTTCAGCAATAATTGGAAGCCAAGATCTATATATTCTAGTGACTGTTGGCTCAGAAAAACCAAATCTAAAGCTCAAGTCTTTATTTAAAAATCCAAGTTTGATTTTCATTATTATTAGCAATAAATGGTCTTCCATTGGTATATTTTTCAATGGTTTTACACAATCTTTAAACAATGATAAATACCACAAAAATAAATTTGCATTTGGCAAACCAGTATAAAAAGATAAAAGTGAATTATCATCTTTTAGTTTTTCAAACGAAATATATTGAGAAACAGATGATGTTATAGCTTTGTTTATTGTAATCTTTAATTCAACATTATTTTTACTCAAAGTTTTGACTTTAGAATGTAGCTCAGCAACAAAATTAACATCATCAGTCTGAGATTCTAAAAACATAATTATGTAACCATTTATTTTATCAAAGAACGAAAGTAAAATCTTAAAATTAAATTAAAACTTATTTACCTTGATTTAATTTGAAAGGGTTGACTGATATTACTGCATCCATATTAACTGACATCTGTTCATTTTCAGCTTTTGTTTGAGATAAATTATCTTCAGTATTTTTTTTTGTTCTTTTACAACTTCTTTCAAATCTTTCAATACTTTGATGTTTTTTTGAAAAAGATTGCTGTCTGTATAAAAAAACAGATGGAACATAGTCAGGACTATTAGGATTGTCTGATTTTTTGCCTAAAAATAGAGAAGAAAAAAAATTAAAACCTTATTTATTTTATTAAAATAATGAACTTATGTGAAATTAAATAAAAACAAAGATAATAATAATATTATAAAAACCTCTAGTTATCAAAAGAAAAAAAAAAATTAAATACCTGAAATAAAATGTTTACTACATAATCTTGCGTTATCAATCATACTTATTGGCCAGTTTTTACGTTTTAAGGCTTGCAACCATAAAACTCTTCTGTTTTTTGATGTTTCTGTATTTCCAAAAGGAATGCGGTAAAAACTCAAGTTTTTATCGCCTTTTATCCTTTTATTCATACACCCATAGCACAACAACTGTCAGGCATTATATTTTAAGAATTTTAAACAAAATTTAATCTAATTAAGTTAGCAAGCAGATTAATTATATCAATGTTTGTTTAATAAACGTTCTCAATGTTTGCAAATCGGTTTTTAAATTCCTGCCACCTAGTGCGCATGCGACGGAAATGTAAACATTGAAATTCATCTATTAAAGTCCCCAATTACTTAGCTCTTTTTTTTTTCTGCGTCGCTGGTATTCACGATATGTAAAAACATGCTTAAGTTTTCACTCACGCCGTCAGGTGGTCGATAACAACAGCTTAGTATAAAGGTTTTTGTTTTTTCGAGTAAAAGTTCAATTGTTAAAACTCCTTTATCGCCATCGGAGACGCTTAAATCGTTTCTCATATTATAAAAGATACTTTCATGAACATAAATTAGAAGCCCTCCACTTCGTTTACTCGTTTTTCTTTCTTGTGAGATAATTTTAAAATGAAGAATATTAAAATTAGTGTCAAAATCGTCTAATGTAACCCATGTTTTAGTTAAACAAATGATATTAAATAGATTTTTTGTTTCTTCTAATAAATTTAAAAGTTTTTCAAAATTCCGATTTAAGCTTCTTATATTGAGGTGGAGAATTCTAATTTGATTGGAACTTTTTTTAATTGCATTCTGAAAAAGAAAACCTTCAAGCTCTTTAGGATAAAAATAAGCACAATCCGTAAAAGTATCGTAATAAAAATTATTATCTGGGTCTATGTTTTTATCAGAGGAAAAGTGGTTTCCTTCAAAAAAGTTAAAAGAAATGGATTCAAAATTGTTCATAAAAGCCATGATTATTAAAATTAGGTTAAGGTTTCTTTTTTAGAATGCGTAATTCGATTATTTGTTTTGAACGTTTTTTAAAATATTAGTTTTAAAAGAAATAATTTTATCGTAACGAACCGAAACATTCTCACCGTTTAAACATCGTTCTTTTACTTCCGCAAATAGTTTT